GGCATTAGGCCTCGGTTTGGTCCTCCCCTCAGTTTGTGGTGACGATGATATCTTAATAAAACTTGGTAAGGGTTGCCTAGACCTTACCCCACCGAGCTTGGTGGTTTGCCCACTGGGACTTAAAAAAAATACCGCTTGAAAGAAGAGCACAAAGAGAGATTATTATCGGAGACCAGAATATCATCCACATAAACGAGAACAACAAGCATATCAGAACCACGACTGAGAACAAAGAGGGTGTGATCGGCATGAGCTTGGCGGAACCCATAGCGTCGAAGTGCTATTCGAAGTTTAGCAAACCAATTTCGGGGAGATTGACGCAACCCGTACAAAGACTTACGTAACCTGGAAACTTTGTTAGGAAACAGGTGAGAGTAACCAGGAGGGAGCTTCATATAAATTTCATCCTTAAGATCCCCATGTAAAACGGCATTATTAACATCCAACTGATCAACGTGCCACCCACAAGCAACAGCAACAGATAACTAAACACGAACGGTGGCTAACTTTGCCACTGGAGCAAATGTATTAGTGAAGTCAATATCCAACTCCTGATGATTTCCCAAGACCACCAAACGTGCTTTGTCCCGCTCCTTAGTACCATCAGACCTGTACTTTGTACGATAGACCCATTGGCAACCAAGCGCCCGCCGATTAGGAGGTAGATCTGTGATTTCCCAGGTATGGTTCCGTTCCAAAGCTGTAAATTCTTGCACCATTGCCTCCCTCCACGAGGCGAATTGGACAACCTCGCGATAGGACTTAGGAACCGGGGAAGCATCAACAGCACCAAGAAAGCCTTGGTACCTGTCATGTAACTTATCATAATTAACATAGTTAGTAATAGGGAACCGGGTACCTGATGAGACTGAACTGGAGGAAGACGAAAGCGGAGTACTAGTAGCGGCGGAATTAAGGACATAGTCATGGAGACGAGTTGGTAGACAACGAGTACGGGGTGGTAGAGGTGCCGGTGATTCGGTGGAGGAAGAGAGCTCCCCCTGCGTGGTTGCCGGGGAAGAAGACAGAGACGGGATAGACGAGGAGGACTGAGACGGGGACTGTGAGGGCTGTTCGGCAGGGGTGGCGCTGGAGGAATCAGCTTGTTGGGACAGTGACAGGGACATTGTTTGGACAGTGGGAAAATCCTCATTTGCTGGGTTGAGGACAGGTTTGGGGGAGGGCGAGGAAGATGGTAGGGAAAACAGGAATTGAGACTCATCGAATACAACGTCCCGGGTACGGAAAAATTGGTGAGTGTCAAGATTGTAAACCATCCACCCTTTAGTACCGGATGGATACCCAACAAACATACATTTGACACTACGGGGAGAGAATTTGTTAGTGGGTTTAGGAGTTTGACAAACATAACAGAGGCAACCGAAGACCCGGAGATGACTCAAGTTTTGGGTTTTGGAAGACAATACCTCAAGAGGAGATTTCCCACCAAGCAACTTTGTAGGAGTGCAGTTGATTAAATAAACCGCGGTTTTCACACATTCACCCCGAAATTCCACAAGAAGAAATGCTTGGAGAATTGAGTCTGTATCATGGCAAAAAACCGTTTAAGAGATACAGTAACTTCACTTTTACAGCGGATAAGATACACCCAAACAACACGAGAAAAATCATCAACGATAGTGAGAAAATAATGAGCACTAGTAGATATACAAGGGGAATAAGGGCCCCACAAATCACAATGAATTAAATCAAACACAGCTTCAGCTTTATTAATACTAGTAGGAAAGGAAGAACGAGTTTGCTTTGACATAAAACAAATTTCACAAGTTTGAAGTTTCTTGACAACAGAACTAGATTTTTTTGAAGTAAGCAAAGAAATAATATCGGAAGAAGGGTGACCCAAACGTTGATGAAGAAGTAGAGGATCCACATTAGCCGTAGTAGCCAACGCAGAGGAGGAAGCCAAGATGTATACTCCGTTTCGTTTTTCACCCTGGCCAATCACCATCTTCGACGAACGGTCCTGTATCACATAACCAGAATCATGAAAAGTTACATAAAAGGGGGTGTCCCGAATCAAACACCCGACAGAAAGTAAGTGACAATGTAAGGTGGGAACAAAAAATACATCATGAAGCACCAAACTCGGAAACGGACACTTCCCTTTTTAGTGGCCGAAATCCGGGAACCTTCGGGAAGGCAAATAGGATGGGATAAAATATCCTATGTAAGTTCGTGGGGGGTGCATCGGATAACAGCAAACACAAGCTATGCAAACAAAAACAATCAACTATGTTGTAGACAAGACGCTGCAGCACTGTCCAGTAACATATGACGGACAGTGTGCTATAACACTCCTCTGTCACAAGCACACACGTAAAATATGAAGTAAAAACAGCAAGCAAGACACCAAAATTGTTCACGCAGTTCGGAGCAAATTCTCTTACGTCTGCAAGGCCCACGTCCGTGTAATAGCCCTTCCACTAAATCACCGTAAGAATTACACAATCAATCACAACAGAACCTTCTAATGTATTGATTTGTCTACTTACGAATGAATTGACGACAAACTCGGTTTGCGTCTATCTCCACGGCTTGTTACACCTTCTCAAAGATCTTCTTCAAGGACGTAGATTCCAATACACCTTCAAATAAAGATTCTTCTTGATCTACAAAAATATGCAGGCTGTTCAGAAGCTTATAACTCGAGATTGAACCGTTGAAATTCGATCTCCACCGTTCAGATTGAAGCTCCACGAGTCCTTAGACTCCTCCTAAAATTTCAGCACGATCAGACAAGATTTGGTACTCCAACCATCGAGAAAACCAGGGCAGTGTTTTCTGCAAAAAATCAGCAATAGTGTGTAGATTGTAACTTCGATAACAGAAGATCCGTAACTCCGATTGACGTGAAAATTTGAACACGTTGAAGCCCTATGTGTTGAGAACACTCTCTGAAAATTTCAGCAGAATCCAACGATCGGATCTCTGGCGGTGATCAAATCCGTGCGGGCTGTCCAGAGAATTTACAATCTCAAAATCTGCACCTTGTTTTTTTCTTTTGATCGAATTTCCTTCTGGTTTTTAGTAGTTTTCCATGCACAAAACCCTAAGGGAGGGTGAAGATATTAATAGAATAGAATAGCCATGTTGGAGTGTGCTTAAGATTCTCAACCATAGTCTCCTCCTTATGAATTGTAAACCAAGTAGGATTAGAATCCAAGTAGGACTAGAATTCTCTCTTCAAGCTCTTTCCTCTTCCTCTTCCTTCACATGCTAGGACTCTAATTCTAAATAAAACATCTAAAATAATTCTAAATAAATCCATTCGTTTGTCAAAAAATAATGCCACGTCACTGGAAGCTGCATGGACAGCAGCTTGGGAGCCACTGCCGACTGGAGGGATGGCGCTGGGTTGCTGCCCACTAGTTTGCTGCCCACGTCCAGGAGCGGCTGCCAGATTGCCCAGGATGCCGCGGCCTCCATGATTAACCGGAGGTCCACCCCCACGGGCCCATCGACCGCCACGGATGCTCGTTGACTGTCCACGTCCACCGGTGGGTTTAGTAAAATGTGCAGGAAAGCCAACGAGTTCAAAGCAAGTGTCGACGGTGTGATTAGTGCGGCCGCAATGTGAACACATGAATTTTCCTGAGGGGAGTGGACGGCAATCAGATCGGACGGCGAAGGCAACAGATTCGGTGCGGTCATTCCGAGTACGGACAATAAGACGGTGATGTTCTTCTTGAGAAATCAAAGAGTAAGCACGATCAATATCCGGGACAAGATCGGTTGCCATAATTTGAGAACGAATATGGCCGAATTGTTCATCATCAAGCCCAAGGAGGAAATCAATAATTTTGTCGCGCTTGACTTGAGCACGTGTGATGGTGGCAGCTTCACATTTACAACCATTCGTAGGATCCTTTGAACCATGCAATTGATTCCACAAAGTGATAAATTGTTTATAGTAAGAGACCACACTTTGTCCCTTTTGACGTAGAGAATTTAACTCAGATTTTAACTGATAAATACGAGGCCCATTCGAACAACTGTAGCGCTTTTGCAAATCATCCCATAATTCCAAAGCTATGGTATGAGAAACAATACTTGGTTGAATAGACTCAGCAACACTATTAAAAATCCAACTACAAATGATTTGATTATTAGCATACCAAGCAGACAACTCGTGTTCATGATCGGTAGGCTTTGGCACCCCGACGGATGACAGAAAAGTAGCTTTCCCACGACCTCCAAGTGCATTACGTATAGCTTTCTCCCATATATCAAAGTTATCACTTTTCAACAAATATTTGGTGAGAGAATTACCAGGACCTTCAGAAGGATGAAGATAGTAGATAGAAGATGGATCATGAATCAACCGTGTGCGTTTGGAGTTAGACATGTTCTCTCCGGCTGTTGAGTCCAAAATATTCACTAATTATTCTCTACCAAATCAGTATTTTTGGGCATTAAAAAGTGCATTTTTACACTTAAATGATCATTTTTGCATTCTAGGCATAGTTTTTAAAATATGTTCATAATGCACACTTTTCAGTTTATTTTTTAATATAGAAATCATCCTAAATAGGACTAAAACATAGAGAAAAGTACCAAAATAGACCTTTCATGTTTTTTCCCGGAATAGGACTTGGCACTGTGGTAATGTGACTTTGCATTGTGGTAATGTGGCAGTGTACATGTGCAAATTACTATACTTTTTTGGTAATGTATATGACCATGTTTGGTAATGTAAGTCCTATTTCGGGAATAAAAACATGGAAATCCTATTTTGGTATATTCTCAATGTTTTAGTCTTAGTTTGGTCTTTCTCCCTTTTGAATATCATTGTTGCGGACCCAAATTCTGCTTGACAAAGGTTATTAGATATATCTTTAGAGCATGAAGTGCGGGCTGAAAATGTGAAAGCAATCCGGGCCCAAGATGACATAGCCCAAAGGTCCACCTCCAAATCTCCAATACACGAGAGAAGCTGGGTAAAAAAGGAGAAAAAAGAGAGAGTCATGCAAGATAGAAGAGCCGAAGACTCCCTCTCCTACATTGGGCCGGCCTCTTCAAGCATAGCTGGAGCCGGAGAATCGGCAGCAAGAATTGCAGCGCGCACAAGGAAGTCCTAACCCACCCTAGACGGAAGAAGCAATTCTCGCACCTATAAATCGATAAATCGAGGGAGGCGCTGCGAAGAACACCACCACCACCTTCAAGAACAAAAATCAAAGCCACGATCAAAGGGTAAACGCCCTTGGGTGTTCGGATCTTGCATCCGAAACCCCCTCTACCATCTTTTGTTCTGTTTTTTTAGTTTTCAATTGAATTGTTTTTTTCTTGCAATTCGTGTGTTTTTGTTTCTGTTTTACTCTTAAAATTTTAGTGTTGTTATGAACACTTTGAAAGAATTCTTCTTAGATATTTTCAAGATTTTTTAGAGGTAGAGATGTGAACCAGAGCTCTTAGCCCTTTGAATGTTATGTCTTCTGTTTAATTTGGTTTCAAAGCAATCTACTGGAATGTTTTTTAGGCAGTGCCGTGCACTATCCTAGACTGGGTTTTATACCAGTAAGGGTCTATTAGCTCTTGGAAGATATTTTCTTGGCTTTACAGTATGTAGGGATTAATTGGAAGTGGAATCATACAATACTGAAGCACTTTTTGAACTTTTCCTTAAAGAAATCTTTGTTTCAACTTTCAAATGATTTATGTGCTGAATTTGTTTTAGACCTCTAGCTTGTGTCTTTACTGCCATATGATGAAGTAGACAAGGAAAATGTCTCTTTTTGAGGAATTCCTCTGAATTATATGTTTGTTGCAGTAAAGAAACAAGTGGGTACAAGTGGGTAATATATATCTTATTAGGTATACTTTCAGTGTTTTTTTTATGTCTGTTTTCTACTTGGAATCTGATTTTGTCAAAAAAATAACATATGAAACCAGAATTTTTGGAAGAAGTATTAAATCTTGTTGCTTAAAATTGAATCTGTCTATGGGTTTAAACTTTTACAACAAGTTTTATAATCTGAAAATAATTCAAGCTTTTGCTACTTTTAAATTAATTCAAAAGGGTGTGATGAGGGTGTTTCCAAGATACAATCAACTCATACACAGAAACACAGACAACGTTAACACAGTAGTACGAACAAAGTAAGAGCACATATAGTTGGACACAAGAAGCACACATACTGGCACTACAACTAGATCCAAAACACATTAAGCAAACAAGATACAAACTAATGCAAAAAAGACACCAACATAAACTACACATTTAACCTAAAATCAAACCAACTATCTAATATTAGATCTCCAATGTTCGTAAATCATGTGTAATCACTTACTACCAACTCTTCTAGGTCTACAGCTACCCCTTTTCACGCACACTTGAAAAAGTATTTCAGACTTTATATATTCCCAAAGCACTAGGTCTAATTTTCTATTTTGGCAATTGACATTCTGAACTGAAAGTAAATGAATAAACCTTCAGTAGTCCTTGAAGCAGAGTGAGACTACCTTATTAATTTTCTACTTTTTTTTTTGAATCATTGAAATTTTCTACCTTATATATAATGATCAGTTTTGTACTTAGTAGTGTTTTTTTCTCTTCAATTGTTCTTATGCTTAGATGATTGAGAAGATCATGAGATGCTGAAGATGAAAAAACATATACAATCACATGATTAATTGATTATGGTAAACATAGGTTTTTTGCAGGCAAGACTAACATATATCACACCCTCCCACCATCCACCCCCTGGAAAAAGATCCTCAAGCCAAACAATACCTTAAGCTACCGTCGCAAATTTTTTTCTTTTTTTCCCATGATTTTGTGAATAGCGGCATGAAGTCGAGGTATTGAGGTGATGGAAATGAAGTGACATCTTTTTTTTACCGTGATGCATGGTCACTTGTTCCCGCCATTGCCAATAGAGCTTAAAAAGTGGGTTCGACAATGTTTTAACTTCAGATAAATAATCGATTAAATAAAAATGACACATTAAACTTTCTTTTCTTTAACTATCTATGAAGTTTCGGGCAGTAAATGAATTAATGTCTCAAAGCAATTCAACTAATAAAAATGACACATTAAACTTTCTTTTCTTACAAATTACAATGCTCTGGTTGACCGTGAAGTGGTTCCTACCTCCATAGCCCCCCCCAACTCCCCACTTGGTGTCAAAAGAATCGACCTCCTAACAGAAAGGACCTCACTCTTTTTATAGGGGTAAAATTTTGTACATCTTGATTCCCAGACTCCAATAGAGTTGGAATAATATTGAGTTTGTTGGTGTTTTTGCTGTTGAACTTGTTATGTCATGACTCAAGAGATAGTGCATTTTGTAGCTCTTTTTTCCTACAAATAGTTGAACACTTCATGCATGATGATTGATATCCTGCAACTGAAAATCTTCTCAGGAATGCAAAATTTTGACTTTTTTTTATTTCAAAAAACCAGATTACTGGATAACAAACAATCTGAGGGCCAGGATGCAGCAGCGACTGAGAACACATCCGTGCTGCGAATGCGGGGCCTACCATATTCATTCATCAAAGAGGACATCAAGAAGTTCTTTGAAGACTTCGTCTTGTCAGACGAGTCGATCCACTTCAGGGTAAACGCCGAAGGGAGGCCGACAGGTGAAGGGTTCGTGGAGTTTCGTGGGCCCGAGGACGCGAAGGCGGCGCTGGCAAAGGATAGGATGACGCGGCAGTCGCTACATTGAGCTTTTCCCTTCATCACTTGAGGAACTGAGTGAGGCTCTTTCAGGGGTGGTTCATTGAGAAGGCATATGTGTTCTTTGTTAGGCTTCTTAGGGAGGGGATGGTTTATTGAGGTTTTTTCTTATCTTTTTTCTCCTCCCAGTTGAAGCATTAACGGATGGTGTGTTCTAATGTCATCTTTATACTTGAAGTATGAATTCATCTGAGACTTTTATTTATTAATGACAAAAAAAACCATTTTCTTTCCAAATTAAAATTACTAGGAAGTTATTGTATGAATTTGTCGAGTCTCTTGTTAATTATGTACTATACTCTTGAGACTCTGTTGTATGAGCTGAGAATTTATTGGGAAAAAAGATAAATTTTACCAGTAATATATAAAAGTATGTTTATACTTGTAAAAAAATAAACTCTTCAATAGTAAAGATTAAAATTACTAGGAAATTGTTGTATTTTTATTACTTTTTTACACAAATTTTGAAAAGAAAATTCTCTCTCCATTTATTTCCAAGATCACACCCAAATACTGAGTATTAAAAACTGCAAATTACATCGTATCATATCATTCTAGTTTATAGATATGTAAAAAAAAAAAATTAACCATAACATGTAACGTACGAGTGGAAAAAACCTAAACTAAGCATGTTTCACAATAACGTTAAAATATTTAGAGCTGAAATTTTGTAAAGATTATCGATCATCTAACAATAGGGTTTATTTAGCAAATCCTCTTGATTAATTATTCAGCTTTGACGGCCGCCGGTGACCGGAGCACGGCAGACGGGACAAGTCCTCTTCCTCCTCAACCACTTCGCGATGCACTCGTTGTGGAACTTATGCGAACAGGAAGACGACAGGGGAGTGATGACGTCACCCTCCATGTACTCCTCCAGGCACACCGCACACGACGTAGCCTCCTCCTCCTCTCCGGCGAACCTCTGTTTCTCCAGCGCGGCAACCTCATCTTCCGACAACCCAGGCCCGACGGCGGCGGGTCCCCAGCTGCTATCAAACGTCCGAAACATGTAGTCCGTGATCCAATCATCCAGCGCATCCACGGCCGCCCGAGTCGCCGGCGGCCTCGGCCCCGCCTCCGGCTCCATGAGGTGAACCGTCTCCAAGACCGCCGACAGGGATATCCCGAACCGGACGCAACCCCGGACGGTGACGTTCTCGAGGGCGAATTGGACCATATGGGCGGCGAACGCCGGGGCATCTATGGGGTCGACGACGCCGGCGAGTGCGGCGGAGAAATAGGCGAAGGCGTTTTCCGGCGAGGACAGAACGCGGAGGGGGTCGAAGGGTCGAGTGAAAGTGTGGTCGCCGAGTGTCTGGAAAAATCCTCCGGAGATAGCGAGAGCTTTGGTTATGAGCCGAATGGAGAGTTGACCATGGCGGGGATCTTGGTAGACCAACCCATCTATGTACCCGCCAGTTAGTGGAGCAGCCGCCGACATTATTTTGTTAAGCACCTACAGAGTGATAGTTAATGGTGTATTTGTGGAAGATTAAGCACGAAAGAAGAATTCCATCTGTTTTTACATTTTACACACGCATATGGAGTATATATAAGGGAAAGAATTTCCAAATCCCAATCCTACAAGGAAACGTAAAGCCCAAGTTATAATTTGAATTGTCAGTTACTGATTTCTGTTTTCTACTACAACAATTTTTAGTTTAGTTTATGAAATATTTGCACTAAATAATACCCCTCCGTACTTAAATAAAGTTCTTTTTTTGACTTTTGGAGGATTTAAGGGAGGGATATTTTTGTGTTGACTTTCCAAAAATACCCTTGATATGATGTGTAAAAGTAAGATGTGATAGATAGATTATTAGTAAAAAGATATGATGTGATAAGTAGGGTATGAAAAAGTAAGGGGTAAAAAGGGTTTTTTAAGGGAAAAGAGAAGTTTATTTAGGGACAAAGAAAAACCGAAAGAGAAACTTTATTTAGGGACGGGGGGAGTACTAATTAAAACTTAAATCATTTTCCTAAATAACACCTAAATTGTTTTATTTCCTAAGTAACACTTAATAATATCCATAATATCTTGTAATGTAGTGCTATTTAGAGAAAATCATTATATTTTAGTGCTAGTGCTATTTAAGTAAATTCCTCTTAGTTTATTTAAAGAGTGGTGTGAATTAAAAAATAAAATTTTTAGAAAGACAAAAACAAAAAGAAGGTTGTTAAAGTTGAATTGTGTAAATAATAATGTGATGGATTACGTACTATTTGTAAAATGTAACTGTTATATGAGTCCAATATTGAATATAAAATTTTAATTTATGCACCCTAAAATTTGGTTTATAATTTAATTTTACAAAATTTAAAGAATTGTAAATGTTCAGTAAAGAGTAAAAAATATTTTACATTTTTGGGTATATATCAATTAAGATGTGAAATTTGAAAGATGTGTTATATACTCACTCTATATAAGTTACTTGATCTAATTGAAATTGAGGTTGTTTTTAAATGTATTTTCTCGTGATATTGACTTTTCATGCATTTTTAGGGGACTTAAGAAGATAATTCACTAGTACATATCAGGGTAAAGGCATCGGTTGTTTTGTACCTTTAGCATTGTTTTTGTACCGATGCAATTGTCCAATTCAATTGCATCACTTTGAAAAACGGATGATCTTTGCTATTTTATTAATTTAAAAATAAATATTATTATCATCGGTTGTTTCTAAACAACCGATGCCTTTTCTATTTTATTAATTTAAAAAAAGAATATTAGCATCGGTTGTTTCTAAACAACCGATGCATGTGCTATTTTATTAATTTAAAAAAAGAGTATTAGCATCGGTTTTTCAGGAAAAACTGATACCTTTGCTAAACATATTAAAATTTTAGAGGTGGGGAGCCAGCGTCAAAGCTTTAATGCGTGGGAGGCTGGGAGCTGAGACTCGTTAATACTGCCATGGGGGCGGTGTTTAACGCCCTTTGGGAATTAAAAGTCGGTTGATATCGGCGCGGGGGGGCCCGTCACCCCATTTCCACTCCTCTAAGGTGCATGAGATGATGGCAAGGAGTAAAATGGAAGAAATTAAAGAATCCATTTGGTCTTTGTTTTTTGTAAGAAACTGAATTGAATTAAATGGAGTGACTTGAAGAATGATAGTGCACCAATTTACCAATTCAAAGTATGTTTGGGAACATGGATTTGGATTTCAAATCCAGATTTGGCTTAAATTCCATATTTGGCAAACTAAAGCATTTTGAAATTGGATTTGGATCAAATTCTATACATTCAAAAGAAAGCTTAATTTGAAATCCATGCACTTCCCCTTGTCATTTAATATTCAGGATTTCAAATTTTGGTGTTGAAATGCATGAATTGAAATAAAATGCTTGTTGCCAAACACTACCTAAATTCAATTCGTTTCCTAATTTAATTTACAAAACTTCATTGTAATTAAAAGGTCATTTTCTAATTGCTACGGCGCACATGCTATTTTAATTAGCTAAGATACTCCGCACTAAAGTTCTATCAAAAATAAAGAAATTAAAGAAGTAAAATTTACGTAAATTTTTACTAAAACATAATGATTTTCCTTAAATAGGATCACATGTGTTTTTCCCAATCTAACACTTTTAGTCAGTTATTCAAATAAATATTAGTCATCACAGGATATTACGGACATTATGAAGTACTCCCTCCATTCCATATTAACTGTCCATTATGACTTTCTTGGTACATTGAGAAATGAATGTATGTAGACATACTTTATGTCTACATTCATTCATTTCTCAATGTATCAAGAAAGTCATAATATAATGGACAGTTAATATGGAATGGAGGGAGTACTATTTAGAAAATAAAAAAAGTTAATTACTATTTAGGGAAATAATTTGAGTTTTAGTGCTATTTAGTGCAAATATTTCATTAAAAAATTATTACTCTCAATATTTTTCTAACAATTTCCAATTTATTACTCCCCCATCCCACTATATTCGTCCACTTTTGACTTTTGGAACTGTTCATCTAAGCACTTTGACTCATCAAATTTTCTCATTGTGTAAGCCTAAATATAGTCATGTGTGATCTTGTTTGATTTAATTTGTCTTAACATATAGATTATTAATATATAATTTCTATAATTTTTTAATATACAAATTACAAGATAAAATGGATTAAAGAGGTGTATTGGAAGAAATAATTTTTTATTCCTTAAAAACTAATTATATAGAGATGGAAAACAAATGACGGTAATAAGCTATTACATATTTTTAGCCTTCTTTCTCTCTCTGTCTCTTATAATTTCAACTAGTTAAAATGATCTACATATATCTTCATTCCATCATTTTTTGGTCACCTTTCCTTCCAAGTCCCATAACACATATTTTTATCACTCAACCTCATGCTCTGTATTTTTTACACTTTCTAGAGAGTAAATGTTGCTTTAGTTTCATTCACAAACATTGCAAAGAAAATTCTCTCTCCATTTATTTTCAATATGAAATACTCCCTCCGTCCCAAAAAGTTTGTTACGTTTAGAAAAAACTGTGTCCCGTAAAGTCCGTTACATTTCTATTAAAAAACCACTTTTACCCCTTACTTTTTCATACCCTACCTATCACATCATACCTTTTTTCTAATAATCTACCCATCACATCCTACTTTTACCCATCACATCAAGGGTATTTTTGGAAAGTCAATACCAAAATATCTCTTCCTTAATTTCCCAAAATGTCAAACCGTCCCATTCTTTTTGGGACGGAGGGAGTAAATTTTAATACGGAGTATTAAAAACTGCAAATTACCTCGTACTCTATCATATAATTCGAGTTTATAGATATGTGAAAAAAAGTAACCATAACATGTTACGTACAAGAAGAAAAAAAGCTAACCATAGGGTTTTGTAAAGATTATCATCTAACAATAGGGTTTAGTTATAGCATTTTAAAACACTATTAAAATTTTATAGTAAACCGCGGCTCTCAAACAAATAGAGAAGAAAGCGATTAGCATGCCTAATCAAGATTAAGGCTAATCCTCTTGATTAATTATTCAGGTTTGACGGTCGCCGGTGACCGGAGCACGGCAGACAGGACAAGTCCTCTTCCTCCTCAACCACTTTGCTATGCACTCGTTGTGGAAGTTATGCGAACAAGAAGACGACAAAGGAGTGATGACGTCACCCTCCATGTACTCCTCCAGGCACACCGCACACGACGGCGCCTCCTCCTCCTCTCCGGCGAACCTCTCTTTCTCCAGCGCGGCGACCTCATCTTCCGACAACCCAGGCCCTACGGCGGCGGGTCCCCAGCTGCTCTCAAACGTCCGAAACATGTGGTCCATGAGCCACTCATCCAGCGCATCCACGGCCGCCCGAGTCGCCGGCGGAAGCGGCGCCTCCGGCTCCATGACGTAAACCGTCTCCAAGACCGCCGACAGGGATATCCCGAACCGGACGCAACCTCGGACGGTGACGTTCTCGAGGGCGAACCGGACCATCTGGGCGGCGAACGCCGCGGCGTCTACCCGGTCGACGACGCCGGCGAGCGCGGCGGAGAAATAAGCGAAGGCGTTTTCCGGCGAGGACAGAACGCGGAGGGGGTCGAAGGGTAGAGTGAAAGTGTGGTCGCCGAGTGCCTGGGAGAATCCTTCGGGGATAGCGAGAGCTTTAGTTATGAGTCGAATGGAGAGTTGACCATGGCGGGGATCTTCGTAGACCCACCCATCCACGTACCCGCCAGTTCTTGGAGCAGCCGCCATTATATTGCTAAGTGACATTATGTTGTTAAGTACGTAGGAGTGATAACTAATTGTGGAATATTAAGGGGAAGAAGAATTAGGTTTATACATTTTACAGACCCTATTCATTAGGTAAGGATTCCTAATCCTAGAAGGCTAGGCAACGTAAATCCCAAGTTAGTGTTTCTTTAATATCCTCTTCACTTGAAATAACTAATTAAAGAATAGGGCGTGTAGCCCAATTTAGTTTTTCTTTTTCTTGCTTTGGTTTTGATTTAAATTTTTGTTGTGTAATCTAAATGTGTTGTTGCTTTGAAAGAATTATTTTTATTTTTTAGATAAGAGTTTGATAACTATGAGAGTATGGTGACAATGTGACCATCCTTTAATTAGTTTAATACTCCGTATAATACTGACCCGCACTAAAATGGAGAAATATATTTTCATTTTTTTCGTTAATTATAGGCCCACTTTTTTCCATTAATATATTTCCATTTTTCCCTTAAAAAGATGATTATGATAAAATTAAAGTACTCTGTATAATATTTAGCTATTTTGTATTTCCTCCGTTATTATAAATCCTTCCCATTTTGACTTTGGGCAAAAATAAGGAAAATATAATTTTGGTTGACTTTCCAATTGTGCCCCTGATGTGATTTTTAAAAGTAAAGATATGATAATTTAGTTATTAGTGAAAAAGTATGATGTGATAGGCAAAGTATGAAAAGGTAGGGGTAAAAATGATTTTTTAATAGAAAGTGGAAGTATTTTAGGGAATTAGAAAAAAACGAAAGGGGAAAGGTTTTATGGAATGGAGGGATCGGAGTATAATGCAAAGTGAATAGAAGTTTGATAAAAGAAATTAGGACATATATATATATATATATATATATATATATATATATATATATATATATATATATATATATATATATATATATAGAGCTAGAGTAGATTATTATTTGAGTAATTTACCTAAATCGGACTAAAACATAATGACTTTCTCAATATAGGATCATATGTTTTTATTTTTCAATGTAGGACATTTGGTCATTATTTATTACTCATTATTCAACTAAATGTCTAGCATCAATTGTACATTATTCTTCTCACTAGTCATTATTAAGTTCTACTTAGGGAATAAAAAAGTCCAAGCCCTACATTAGAAATAACTTACTCCCTTCGTCCCTAAATAAACTTCCATTTTTGACTTTTTGAGGATTTAAGAGAGGGATATTTTTGTGTTAACTTTCCAAAAATATCTTTGATGTGATGTGTAAAAGTAAGATGTGATAGGTAGATTATTAGTAAAAAGGTATGATGTGATAGGTAGGGTATGAAAAAGTAAGGGGTAAAAGGGGTTTTTTAAGAGAAAAGAAAAGTTTCTTTGGGGACAAATAAAAATGAAAGGGGAAGTTTATTTAGGGACAGATGGATTATGTTTTAGTCCTATTCAGTGTAAATTTCACTTATTATTTCTTGCATTGTTTGTGATTTTGTTTTATGAGCACCCAAAATAAAGAAGAAGAAGAAAATAAAATTCCAACATACCAAGGAGGAAAGTGAAGGATATGATGGCAACGAATACTAGGGAAGGAGATAAAGACTCCATTTGATCTTGTCTTTTTTTTAAAACAAAACTAAAATGTTGAATCCTTTAATATAAAATTTGAGAGTTGATGGCTTAGGGGGTGTATTCAATTAAGAATCTGGTGGATTTTTTTGAATTTTAAAAGTCAGCAGGTATTCAATTAAGATTTTAAAAAATCATTTGAAATCTACATGTATTCAATTCAGATTTTAAAAAATCTTTTTAAATCTAATGGTATTAAAAAATTGATAGATTATGTAGAATTCTTATAAATCATGGATTTTGAGAGATTGTTGGCTGGTAGTATAAATAGAAATCAATCTCACAAATCTCAGGGAAAAGCTATAGATTTCGCAATTTTCCCTGCTCCTATCTTCTCTTTCTCTTGCGCACGATTCTTTATCTTCTCCGGCAGGGTTTTCATCTTCTCCGACCTGGTTCTTCATCTTCTCCGGCAGGGTTCTTCATCTTCTCTGACCTGGTTCTTCATCTTCTCCAATGGATCTTTCACTCCGTCACACCAGGTCTCCATCTTCTCCGACATTTTGGAGTGGTTGTTGTTGGGTAATATTGAGATTTGGAGCGATTCAATAGAATGAAGGGACAGTCTGTTGAGAACATAGCCGCGACTGCCGCTCCTAGGGGTTCTCGTCCTCATCTTCTTAGCAATTTGCAATTTCAACTTCTAGATGTCTACCACTAAGTTATAAGCGACACATTCTTCTCATTGCTATTATTCCTTTTTTTTTTCATTCTTCTGCTGCAGAATGAGTTTGAAATAAAATTTCTAGCTGAAATAAAATTTAAAGGGTGAACTACCTCAAGATTAGCAGGAAGTCGTCTAGGGTTCTTTTAACGGGTGGAGGTGGACAAGTCGTATATGAATTTTTAAAATAACTCAAATGTAAATATAATAATTTATTAATTTTAAACAATTTATCAAAATCCTATAAAATCTTGCTGATAAAATACATTAAAATCTACCTAACCCTGCATAGAATCTATCTACTGACTTTTTAGAATCCTTGATTTTAAAGAATCTATCTAAATCTTCTAAAATCTGGATTGAATACACGTAAAATCTGGATTGACTTTTTAGAATTTTGACATGTGGCAGTTTAAGAATTTTGATTTTGAGACACGTTAGCCTCCACGCGTCCCTTCTTCGCTAATTCCTGGAGATCGCCCAAGCCTCTCCCAAAAAAAGAATTTCCATCTCTGTTCCGTCTTCTTCGCGTCTCTATGCCCATCGCCGCGCATGATTATTCGCATCTACCTCTCGCTATATTCAGATTCTTCAACGAAAAAAGATTCCATATAATCGGCAAGAGAACCGCGATTGGAATAGCCAGGTTTGTTTCCAAATTTGAAACTAGGTTTTTTTCCATACTTGGATTTAGGTTCCAAATTTTCAATTTAGGTTTGTTTCCAAATTTCGATTTAAATTTCGAATTTGGTTGGTTCGAAATTTCCAGCGTAAATTAGTTTCCAAATTTTGAATTTAATTTTACTAAATTAAATTAGTTCTTGATTTTTGAGTAAACTCCCGGTATATGTAAGAAAATTATAAAGCATTCCTGGCAGTGTATGTCAGAGGTTTTTTTCCCCGCAGTGCAACACGGAGTTGGCTACTCCGTTTCGTCTGAATTATTTATTGGCAGAGTTGCCTACTCCGTTTGGCTCTATTTTTTTCCCCTTTTTTTTCCTTTTTCCATTTTTTGGGTGTTAATGCAGAAAGAAAGAAAAAGACCTCATCCGTGTAAATCCTTTTAACCGTAGGAAAGGCAATCTGGCAATTGTTCATTCTTTCACAAGGAGTCTTGCTCTTTTTTTCTTTTCTTTTTTTCTTTTTTTTACCATTTTCCCTTTTTAACTCCGCAATCCTAAAGATTTCATGTTTTGATTCTTTTTAAAATAATGACATTTTTTGTCACAAATTAGACATAATTTAAATAATTTAATTATATTAAAAATTTGATATATCAAAATTACTCACTTTGTCCCAGTGTATTTGTCCAGTATGACTTTTTTGAATTAAATTGGACAAAATTTGAGCTTCAATTAAATAAGAACCATAACGTATTTTAACATTAAAATGCATTTATTGGATTTATAGTATTCAGAACTTTTAAAATTATATTTCATTATGTTAATATATATGCAATATAAACTGAGATTAATTGGAGTTCAAAATTTGTCCAGTTTGACTCAAAAAAGTTAAATTGGACAAATACACTGGGACAGAGACAATATATCTTAAGTTGAAGCAAAATATATTGAATGAATATTATAATTAAGTACTCCCTCCGTCCCGCTATATTCGTCCACTTTTGACTTTTGGAACTGTTCATCTAAGCACTTTGACTCATCAAATTCTCTCAATGTGTAAGTCTAAGGTCCTGTTCTTTAGGACTGTAAAAAAGAGCTGGATTCTGGAAGAAACTGGAAAAAACTGAAAGGAACCGGAAGAAACTGGAAAAAACTGGAAGAAACTGGAAGGAACTGGAAGAAACTGGAAGGAACTGGAAGAACTGGAAGGAACTGGAAAAAACTGGAAGAAACTGGAAAAAACTGGAAAAAACTGGAAGGAACTGTAAAAAACTGGAAGAACTGGAAAAAACTGGAAAACCCAAAAAAAACTTTAAAAATATTTATTTTAAATTCTTGTTGTTATAAATTATTATTATTATTATTATTATTATCATGATTATTATTATTATTATTATTATTATCATCATTATCATCATCATTATCATAATCATCATCATCATCATAATCATCATCACGTTATCTTAGTGAATGTCTTTAAGATATAAAAAAGTATTGTTATTTTTAAATACAAAAAACTACTTTTACAAAAAATAATTATAATATAAAGTTAGCATAAATATAAAAATATTAAATTTTAAATAGGCCGTGTAGTTATATTGCACCTCAATTTATTAATGCAGTATTTATTATAAATAATGTATTTGTAATTATAATTTATATATTAAAACATTTTTTTTTAAATATCATACATGTCACATAATCAAACCTATTGTTTCTTTCATGATTGACATTTTATTTTCATTGAAGTCCTATTTTTGGAAATAAGACAGAGAACTTTTTTGTTTACATTTTTTATGTTTTACTCATATTTTAGTCTTTTTCTATAAGATCTTTTGACTTATAATTTTTTTATAAAAATTAGAAAAATGATCAATTTTTAAGTTATAAAGGTAAACCTGAGATGTCTTATAAAAAGTTATATTAATAAAACATCGAATGTAACTATTTTATCCATAATTTTTTAGTACGGAGTATAATTTAACATATTGATGTTTTCCTGTTTTATCATGTAGACTAATATACAAAAAAATGTCTTATTCATATTAAAAAGTTGAAGAAAAAAATAATAAGTGTAAATCGTAAAAATAGTGAGATGAAAAAAAATAATTTATAAACTACAGTTATGAATATAACAGTTGCAATAATAATAATAATAAT